TCATTCTCCACTTCCTAGAGGTATGCTCCAAAGGGCAGAAATGAGTTCACTGCCATATTTCTGGCACCCACAGTAGGTGTCAAATTAGTACATGAATTTGAGGCTGACTTTTATTTCTACATGATTGTGGTTTGGTTTAGCTTTTCTTTCCTCATAGAATCTTGTTTTTTATAAATATCACACTTTGGAATTGTCTTATAAAGAGACCCTAAAAGCTATTTTTTCAATATGTTGTATGTACTTTATATCCAGAAGGACCTTTTTGGAAGATTTCAATATCATATATTTTATTTTATTTATCTTTTTGTATTTTAGGGAAGGATCTACAGGGTGTTCAGGGTCTCATTGTACAGACTGGACTTGTAGTGATTCCGCTGTTCACAGCTTCCCAAGTGATGGGATTACAGGCATGTGCCACCACGCCCAGTCTCAATCGCCTTCTCAGCATGCCCCAGGGTAGGCCTGGCACAGCAGGCCTGGGGATGGAACCCCCACCCCTGTGCCTGATTGCAGGCACTTTAATCTACTGAGCTACTTGGCCAGCCCTAATATCATGTATTTTAATAATCAGGTTCTTTATTAATCAGTAAGTATGGTACTTTACAAATCATCAAAATCTTCCTCTGCTTTGGAATAATTCAGTTTGATCCTCATTCAGATCCTCAATTTGTTTAATGCACAGAAAAAGATGCTTTTGTGAAATTTGTTTTTGTTTTTTCATTTTTTTACTCACCTGCATACATATCTTTATCTCTGTCCAGTGTTGTGAATTGTTTACCATTGTGCCACATCATAGAATCTCCTGCGTTTCCCTGGTAAGTTCCCAGGCGCAGTCTGTAGAATTCACTTTCAGGTTCTAGACGAAAGCTACTATATTCTGCATAGACTTTCTTATCACTCCAGTCTTCTAATTCAATCAACAACTTATAATTATCTTGGTTGCTAAGCATATAGATATTTTCTAGTCCAAGCCAATATTCACCATCAATGTTTCCAAATCCTTTCTGTTAATAAAGAATCAACGGGTAAATAAGTGGAGATAGTAAACATTAGTATATTGTAGATAACTTCAACATTCAGTAACATAAAGATGTTTGCTATTTCAATAGTAATGTGAACTTCCATTTTAGTAGATCATGTGATTTTTGTAAGCTCCACATTTTCATTTTGGTTTGCTTTGCTTTCTCTTGAATGTCAGTATTTGTTTGTATAGCCAGCTTCAAGCCCTACAAATAAGATAAAGGCAAAACAAAACGAAATATATTTATGTCTACACTAAACTATTAACTGGTAAACTACCTGAATTCTTAAAAAGTTAGGTCCCTACTCGCATACTCATCCAAAGGGTCTTTTCTTTTTCTGTAAAAGTACATGGATATTTTCCCTATTTTAGTCAAATAAAAAGGGTATCTGACATTTTTAAGGCCATTTAAGGAAAATGATAGTATGCATTGTAGGTATTTTGTGTGCTTTTTGGTTGGGGATGGGGTTCCCGTAGTACTGGTGGTGTTTAAACCCAGGGCATTTGTACTGAACTATATCAGCCCATTTTTTATTTTTAACTTAGAGATCTGATCTCATTAAATTCCTAAATTGCCTAGGCTGAGTAAGAATTTAGAGTCTTACTGTTGGGAATAATGGCACCTGCCATCATGCCTGGTTCCAAACTATCTGCTTTAACTTTACTATCTGTAAAATTAGTAAATATAGGAAGATAAAGTAGCATAGGGCCAGGGAGATGGCTCAGTAGAATAAGCGCTTGCCTGGCAAGTGCAGGGTTCTGAGTTTAATCCCCGGTATCA